GCTTCCTCCCCACTAAAGAAGAGCTGTCCCTGCAGGAGGAGGGTGGTTCCTTTTCTGCTGTAAAAACGCTCTAGAGCAACCACACACCTTATTCTGCTACAAAAACTGAAACAGAAAACAACCCCTCCCTTGCAAGGATGACAATCCCTCCTCTGGCCACAGGCAGTTCTCTGCAGCAGAACGTGAGGTTCTGCTTGACAGATGAGCTGAGCAGCACCAGGAAAACAAAGCAGAGCAGGTCTGGAACCACAACAAGGATGGTTCCAACAAAACACATTCTGCTTTGCAGGCAGAAGGACAAACATCCTCTGCAGGCCTGTGCCACACTCTGCTGCTCCAGCTGATGTGCTGGACATCACTGCAGGTGTCTCAGCGTGGCAGCAGCACACACAGAGCTCCCCAGCAGGACTGTGCAGCCCATACCTCCATCACACCAATAAACCAACCCACTGAACCCCCAAAGTGCAGCAACGTGCTTGCACTGAGCACAAAACAACCACCACCCACACCTGCAGTTACTGCTGGGGAGGCAAAACCCTGCCCTAGAGGAGGGCAGTGAGGTGCCACGAGGTGCAAGGACACAGCCAATGTCATCAAGACACAAAGAAATGGACCCCCATGTAAAATTCATCTCTTGTCTCCATCACTTTGCTCATCGTTGAGAGCTGCTGCTGGAACTCCTGTGGATCTGTTGTACTGACAGGGAACCTGAGCCAGAAGGGAACAATTTCTGTGCTGCCCTCACAAAACAGGTGAGGAGCGGAGCAGAGGGGGCCTGAGCTCACCAAGGCCAGCAGAGTGCCCCAGTCCTGTTCTCTGATGCCATTTCCAATGCATGGAGTGGAAATGTGGGAGCAGAGTCCCAGGCAGTGCTGAACTGGAAAGATCTGCAAAGCTGGAGCTGTGCTGCCCTCCACACAGCAGCAAAGTGCCCCAGCTCACACTCCTGCTCATCACATCCTCTTCTGCAGCACTCCTCACACAATCCCTGCCTACTGCCAAAGCCAGGAGACCCTCTCCAACCCCCTCTCCCTGGATGACCCCACATCTCACCCTTCTCCCACTGTATCCCAACAGCTCCTTTCCACTCAGCCCCCATCATTCTCCCTGAATCCCACAGAACTCCTTTTTCCAACTCTTATGTCCTTACTTATCATCCTCAGTGTCCCCTTATCCCTGACCCCCTTGCCACTCTCCCACCTATCTCCTCCCCCCATCTCTGCATTCCCCCACCTGGCCTGCATCTCCCACAGTCCCTTGGTCTGATTTATCTGCTCTGGAGCCACCAGACTCCTTTTCCCCGTAGAACCCCTCCATGTCCTGCTTATCCCCTCTGCATCTCATACAACTCTTTTCCCCAGTCTTCCCTAAACCTCCTCCTTCTCCTCTCCCTTTGCACTGCATCCTTTCCCTGGATTTCCCCACACTTTCACTTCTATCTTCCCTAATTTCCACCATCTCCTTTCCCCATTGTCTCTGAACATCCCTCCGATCCCCTATGCCGTCGCTCCCCCAGTCTCCCCTGGATTCCAGAGCCCCTCCAACCCCGTCCATCCCTGCTGTTATCTCAATTCTACCATGTCCTTCCCCAGTCCCCCGAACCCTTCACTGACAACTCCCCATCTCTTTTCCTTCCATCCTCGCCGACAACTCCCCCATCTCCTTTCCTTTATCCTCCCTGTCTCTCACCAACTCCTTCACCCCGGTCCTCCCCAGCCTGGCCCAACCTCCCCGCCCCAATCCCCTCCCGTCACCCCCAGCCCCATTCTCCTTCTGCTCTCCTCGTGCACCC